CTTGACCTAACCAAAAGACAACAATGCATGAAAACAAATACAATGCACACTTGCACCCCTAGGGTTTCAATCCACTTGTTGCCTTAAAAAATGGGCCATGGTTGCATGTCAAGTACTTTGGCAAAACAAAAACAAAATAAAAGATCATAGTCCATCGATGACGCTATCTGAGTTGCCTAAACAAAATGATCAAGTCCCTTAAGAAAATTGCCAAAAATACTTGACACAATTGCTATCATGGTCTGTACGATGACCCGCGCCTGTCCCGTTTAACATCCTAACACAAGGTCGTTCACCAAATACAATGGTGAAAAGACATTGTTAAAAGGGTTAAAAACATAAGAAAAATCTTTGAGTAAAATAGGGTAGATAGCTCTTAGTTACTTGATCAAAAGCTTGCAAAAAAAAACATCCTTGCTATTTTTCAAAACACACTTCACAACACAATTTCAAAACCCTACTTTCAAACTTTGAAAACTTTTCAAAAGACAAAAACACCTTTGTATACATTCAAACAAGAATCATTACAAAGGTTGCCACAACAATGGCCTCTTTTCAAAACATCTTTCAAAATCACACAACAAAGCACCATTTCAAACAATTGAAAAGCAAAGCAAGTGATCTAAGCAAGTAACTAAGAGCCCATGGATAACCATGGATAGAAAGGGTGTTAACACCTTCCCTTTCTATAATCTACTCCCAGAACCCAAGAAAACATATCAAAGGTCTTTCCTGTGCTTTTTGACCTTTCCTTAGGATAAAATAAAAAGTCAGTGGCGACTCTTGCTAAACTGAAACATTTGCGAACACAAACGCAAAATCCCAAGTCAGTTCTCCCACCGTATCACAGAACTGGAGACTCTTCTGGGGATGGACTTTAGAAGTGGAGTAACCTTAGGGATTAGATCACCCTTTGCATGATTATTGTTTGCTTTGATTGCTTTACCTTTTGGTTCTTTTGTTTGGGCTTGAAATCATCCACCCAAATTTAGGAAACATTCATAGGTAAATAGCAATACGTTGTGAAAACTGTGTGGGGTATACCGACACGGTTGAAGCAATAGCTATATTAGTGTGGCATATTTGTGAGTACCGCTAGCCTTTGAGTCAATCAAAGAGAATACGGGGCCGCTGAGTGATGTCATGAAGCACTAATGAACTCTTAGAACCTTACTTGACCATCTTGGCCTTTTATTAGGGGTAGTGAGATGACCGGCTTTGGTGCAGTCCGAAGTTGGTAGATACTCGATACTACACTCATTGAGGGTTGTTTTCTTGGAATATTTTGGTCGCTAGTTAAGTGGCTAAACCAAAACAATGAACATAGAAAACAATCCAGTGATATTGAGCTCCTTAGAACCCAGTTACTATTTATAGGACAGGTTTGAGCCAACTAAACTCAAGAGGGTATTTACCTATGAAACCTCATGCAAGCCTGAAACTAGGGTTTTTTGTGACTTGTTTGTACATGTGCTTGTGCATACATCATGAACATCATAAAGCACCCCATGCATCCACTAACCATTTCAAGGGTTTGGATCTTCATCTTTGTTCTTATTTTGTAGGTCATGGAATCTCTTTGCAGGAAAACAATTCAAGTGAACCTTGTGAGAATCCCTCATCAACTCAAGGAGCTTACTTCTAGGATTCCAGAGAATTCTCTCTTCAGTGAAAGACATGGTATACTTCTCAACTTGGTCAACTCCAACATTGAAGAAGACATGGTGAAAGTTCTCTTCCAGTTCTTTGACCCCCTACACCACTGTTTCACATTCCCTGATTTCCAACTAGTACCCACTTTGGAGGAATTTTCTCAACTCCTGAGAATTCCTATTCTTCATCAACTACCCTACAACGGTACGGAAAAAGAACCAAAGCCTGAAGATGTTGCTCAAGCATTACACTTGCAACCATCTGACATCAAGGGACATTGGGAAACCAGAAGTGGTGTCAAGGGCTTCTTGGCAAAGTTTCTGTTTGAGAAGGCACAAGACTGCTGGAATTCTCTTGATCTACAAGCCTTTGAAGAGATTGTGGCACTCCTTATCTATGGGTTGGTCCTGTTCCCAAACCCTGACCAACTTATAGATGTGAATGCTGTCAAGATTTTCATATCCAGGAATCCTATACCTACATTGCTTGGGGCCATCCTACACTCATTTTACACACAAACAATGAGGAAGAGAGGTGTTCTCATGTGTTATACTCCTCTCCTAGCGAGGTGGTTTATTTCTCACCTTCCACAATCAGTTTTGAAGAATGAGCAGGGTTTAAGGTGGTCACAACGGTTGATGACCCTCACACATTCTGATGTACATTGGTGTTCTCGGTCCAGAGAAAATGTCATCATCATTGATCGTTGCGGGGAATTCCCTAATGTCCCATTACTTGGCATTAGGGGAGGCACTACCTACAACCCTTGTCTAGCTTTGAGATAATTTGGATATGCTCGGAGGGATGGCCCTCATGACATGCTGATTCCTGACCTAGTCTTTGATTTTGACAACGATGCGCAAGGACTTCGAAAAAGGTTCATCAGAGCTTGGAGGATGCCTAACAAGGTGGATAGTAAGACACTGAGGCACAAGAATTCCATCCCCCTTGAGCCTTACCTCAAGTGGGTACGAACCCGCTCCCAGAATCTTATGATGCCATACCCTCACATTCTCCCCTTGATCAAAGAGCCTGTTATGGAAGGAGATGTTCCATACACCATCCTCCATCCTGACATGCCAACATCATGGGAAGAAATGAAAAAGAGTTGGATCCAACTCAAGGAAGAACGGGATACTTTTGAAGCCAGCTTCTATGCCAGTGAGAAGAAGGTTTTGGAGCTTACCTGCCAACTTCACGAGGAGGAAACTCTCAACACTTACATCGCGCCAAAGAGGATGCGCAATGTCTTTTTACATTAAGAATTTTGTAATATTTTTCCCATGGGGCACTTATGTACTAACCAATTTCTTCTTAATATGACGTGCGTTCTTTTTGTTTGCAACAAATTTGAATTTCTGAACCCTTGAATGCATTACATGAATAACATACCATTCATCATATGCATAAATAGGTCTTTGCGCCGGGTTTCCTTATCTTTCTGCTGTTTATTTCAGCAAGATGGATTTGGAGTAGACGGTAAAGGATCTGCATGCACAAAATTCACAGTTCCGGAAACTCCTCATGACCTTGGTGAAACAACCGGCTGAAAATCATCAAAACAATGAAGTCGCCATCGAACGTCTTTTATCCCAAAGGTAGGGAAAGGTAAACATCGAGAAAACCCGAGAAGGATGAAATCAAGGTTAAACGACCAAGAGATAAGGGTAAGGGAGTCTGTTACGCAAGGGGAAGGTATTAGCACCCCACACACCCGTAGTACTCTACGGTATCCACTCTTGTTGTCTATCTTATGGGTGTGTTTAATCTATGCTTACTGTTTATTATTACTAAAGGAAAAATGCATGCAAAAGAAAGGGGAAAAGATGTAGGGAAAATTAAAATTGTGCTCGCTTGGGCCCTACCCCAATGCCTACGTTTCCCTTTTAAGGAATCAGAGCAGCCGTAGTTCGGCTTATATGTTTTTGTTTGTTTGTATTTTTTTACTGAACAATATTAATTTCGCCTTCTGCCGCAACTCGACCGTTGGAGACTTACGCGTCAGCACAGAAGTGAATTAACATGCTCTTTCAGAAAAGGTTTGAAGAAAATGTGCCTGGGCGCACAAAAAGGTTTGAATTTGTTTGTGTTTGCAATGAACGATATTAATTTCCCCTTCTGCCGCAACTCGACCGTTGGAGACTTACGCGTCAGCACAAAAGTGAATTAATATGTTCCTTTTTTTAAAAAGAATTTTGCAAGGAAGGCCCGAAGGCAAAAAGAGTTTGTATTGGTCAATATTTTCGCTCGTGGATAATAGCTAGTTGACCTCAAGAGAGAGATTTTAGCCATTTCTCTACTTATTCATGAAATGAGTCTTTGAGACTTGAACCACACCAAAGCTTAGAGTGGAAGAACAATAATGTCGAGAAGAAACCCGCTTATCGTCTCACAGACTCAACGAAGATATGATTCTCGTCAGTGATTTTTTTTTTTAGTATTTTGAAGTTTGTAAAAAAAGGGATTTTTTTTAAATGCGAATGCAAAAGGGAAAGAAAAGTCACAGGGAGACCAGTCTATTTCTAAGCCTGGTTTTATCGCGCATTAATAGTCTTAAGGTTAGAATGAAGGGGAAACATCCACCTAATGTTAGCATGCACATGGTTTGCGATAAAGCCCCTACTTCTCATTATTTTTAGAAAAGCAGTAAAGTGCGAAATGAGGAATAAAATAAAGTCACAATGATACCAAACGGAGGAGGTCCGTTGCCTCTTCGAAACTGCGCAAGCGGTAAGAAAATTCTACCACAGCTTCCTTGAACGAGTGATCAGAGAATTAACCCCGAGCATTCCACATTGCAAGAGCTACATCAACATTCTATCACAAAGTCTTGGCTAAAAATGACAACAAAAATGATTACCAAAATATAAAAAGAAATAATAGAAACTTCTAATAAAATTTTAAAGAGAAAATCTAAAAAATTCTAAAATATTCTACTATTTTTTTGTATCATTTTTATTATCAATTAAGAGAATAATATTAAACTAGAAATAAAAACTGAAATAAAAAAGAAAGTTAGAAGACTCAAGGAGTACAAGTAGTAGCAAATGGTGCAATTTCCGATCTGAAGGAACCCAATGCAGACTATGTATGACAATGGTTATTAAAAAACAATGGACACCGGCCCCTAGAGATTTTGGCCCAGGTCCACCACTATTATCAGTATCTTCATTACTTATTTCAGATTTTTATTTAGTTAAAATAAATAATAAAAAGAAAAGGGAAAGCAGGGAGAATGCGTATACGATGATGTTTGGTTCCACCCGTCGTGGCCATTCAGCTACCACACAGCTAATCAACCTTTTCATCCTATTCCTCCTCTCTCATTTCTGACTTGCAATTTCTGATTAGTATTCCGCCGCACCAGAAATCACCTCCGGCGGCGGAAGAGGCCCAAAATGCACCAAACCGCCATCACCTTGCTCGTAACCTTCCTCTCCTTCCATATCTGATCTCTACTTTTCTCAAACTCTCGTGAAAACCTCTACATCACGAACCCTAGAAAACCAAAGTATGGAATTAACTGGTAACAAAGCTTGCAATCGTGTTATTGGAAGAGGAGAAATGCTCATAGGATCCTAAACTACTCCGCGGTATAAAGAAAGCTAAGATAATTCGAGGAAAGGGCTATCTTGCTGGCCGCGGTTATCATGTTGAAGAGGAAGACGAAAGAATCAAAAGAAATTAGACCTCCCAGGTACAATTCACCACTTTTAGATTTAATTTTTCACCTCTACCTTCTTCTGCTTCTTTTTTGCTTATTCTGATTTGTGCTTTTTCATAGCGTCGATGCTGTGTTGGATTGTTGTGTTATGTGTTGTGTTGTTGAAGCGTCGTGTTCTTTGTGATTCGTGAACTGTGAATTTGTTGGAATTGTGGGTGATTCCGACTCGATGTTGTTGCTTGATTACAGAGAATGAAGATGATAATCACAAAAGTGTGGATTCAGTTATGGAGATGGAGATGGCGAGGTTGCAGAGGCTCGGAGTGTTAAGGTTCGGTGGAGAGGATGAAAGTTGTTAGAAGATGATGAAGGTGGTTTAAAGTGAAGAGATGATGAAGTTGTTGAAGTTGATTATTGAAGTGTTGTTGTTGTACTGTGAAGGGGAATGATGCGAAGATGAAGGTGATGAAAAAACCAGAAAGAAAGTGTAGCGAAGTTGATGAAGAAAAGATTTTGTGTGATGCAGTTATTTGCAAAGAAAAAAGAGAAGAATTTTCTGAGAGCTTCTTCCTGTTATTCTCCAAGAATGTGTAGCATTGTGGAAGGTTGAAGAAGGAAGCAGATATAATGATGAATGAAGGTACATAGAAAGCTCACAGATATGAGAGAATTTTTTGGTGAGTTCTTTGTGAATTTTTCTCTATTTTTTAGGAATGACCCTGCTTGAAGGGATCTTTGCATAATGAATCCTGATTCTGTATATATGATGAGAGAGCTGGAGGGAGCTTTCATAAAATTCTGTTTTTGGTTTTAGAGTTAGTTATATGGTTAGGAGCTTAGAAACTGTTAGAGTTAGTTAGAAAATTCTGTTAAGTTAGAATTCTGTTAGATAATTTTGGTTAGAAGTTTTAGTTCCTAAGCTGTTGAGCTGAACTGTTTAATTAATTTTCTACTTTCCAACTTTCTATGCAGTTTGTTTTTTGTTTTTTTCCAGTTATTGCAGTTAGAGAGTTTGTTAGTAGTTAGTTATGGTTACAAGTTAGTTGTATTGAAATTCTGTTTGCAGTTAGTAGTTTAATTGTTAGAGAGAAAATTAGAAGTTAGAAAATCTGTTATGAAAAGTTAGTTGGCAAGCTGAAGGTTATGTCATTGGCTTGTTAGTTTTGGTTCTGATTGTGGATTGTTTTGATGCGATTTTACAGGTTGAGTTCCAAGTGGTCAGTAGGACTTGTGTTTCCAACTGTATTTGAATTATCCTGTGTTTTCTCAGCAGAAGATGATGGCGGTGCTTGTGGTATTGAAGAACTACTTTAATTGGAGTAATGAATTTGCAGAGGTGCAAGCCATGTTGAGAGAAATTGAGCTCTCTGTTTCTGTATATTGTTAAATCCACAAACACAGCATCTGGACAAGCAATTTGGGAAGAAGTGTTCCTAAGCTTGGCAATTACCAATGGGTTGCCAATTACTTTAAACGCCTCAACAAAGACTTTCAAACCCAGGCGTTTCTTTCCCTTTTGAAGAAAATTGCAAAAATCAAACGGCAATTGAGTGGTTATGTTTTTCTGCCCCAACAAATTGTGAAGTAACTGCAAATACTTCTCATTGCCAGAGCTGAGATGAAGCAGACAAATCAGAACAAACAATCTCAGGAGAAGCGAAGGAAAATTATTCTTCACATTCAAGTTCTATTTTTTTATCCAGAGTTTGGTACTATTTTCGTCACAGATGCACTCACAGAGGATATTCGCAACGAAATCATGGACATCGCTCATGTCTTTCCATTGTACAGCCATAAAACTCAGATTTGTAAGAGAATTTTCATTTTGGCTAATAAGCCATTAAGTGAAAGATGACTTTGTAGCATAAATGGACCCCTTCAAGCATGATGTCAATAGCAGTAACCACTCAACAAGATACATAAAGAAACCAGGAGCTACATAGTCGACTTCCACTACCCAATTCACGTTGTAAGTATCCTTCAATGCTTCCTGAAGCTTAACCATGCAATGCATCTCTAAAACTGCCTTATTTCCCGGTACATTTTCATGTTCTGAACATAAACGTAAGCTCTCAATGAAATATTTCCATGGTTTCTCAGCCTTGGATACATAGCGGGGATGGCCAAACTCCAACTCTGCAATAGCGAGACAAGTATATTGATCAACATGAAGTGAAGACAACTTTCCATTCTTTCTGAGAAAGGTTTTGAGTTGACTAGATTGACATATCCCGGTAGCTTTATACCATATGGAATCCAGTGTTCCTTCATGATCCTCGTGTGCCGCTAATCTAAATGACTTATTTTCGCAACCACTTGTAGCAAGTCGTTCCATGCTCTTCCCTCTCGGAAACAACTCAGTACCATCTGCATCTGTGGAAGGGTAGTCAATAGAGTTTAACTGTAGAAGAGCTACAGTGAACCATGTTGTTTGATTTTTTTTGGAAAATTTTAATTGTTTCTCGGCCTCAGAGATTATCCTCAACTCATGGCTTAGTTTCTGAAAGTCTGCTTCCAATGTGTATATACTAAAAAATCTACTTCTGGCTTTATAATCACATTTCCCAACAAGGGCGTCCATTATGATATTTGCCAACTGTGACACAAGTTGCATAGGATCCATCCTCGATCTCATCAGCTTTCGAGCTCTTATAACTGTATTTGTGGTGTCAGGTGATAGGGCCAAATCTAGAAAATCAAACAATTCATCATTCGAAACAATCCCGGTAAGCTCATAAATTAAAGAAACATTAATCATTTTACCAAGCAAACTTAGCTGTTCAAGCATAATTTCTGCATCCTTATCAGAACCACAGGATTTTGCAGCAATAAGGTCCAAAGCAGCTTGTTCATATTCAATACCTTCTTCAGTGCAAAATTTTTTCTAATCGGCGTGCAATATCAGCGTCTTTAACCTTTGGAAAGTAATACCACTGAGCCCGTGAAACTGCACTTTGAGGAAGCTTATCCAAATCAGGAGTGATCATAACAAAAACCACACATTGAGAAATGTTCCCTAGATTATTCGAAAGGCAAGCCCATGTTTCTTCGTTCAATAACTGGCATTCATCGATAATGAAAATTTTATAACGTGAGTAAACTGGAGGAGAACACGCATTCTTAACAAGTGATTTAACCTGATCCGTTTGATTGATTTTCATAGAATCCACTACCTCAACATCTTTACTTCTTCCAGAAAAGAATAAAACACAATCTCTACACAAACCACACGGTCTTTGCTCCACAATAGAAAGGCAATTAAGCGCAGAATCAAATATTCTCGAGACAGATGTCTTACTAGTACCGCGTGGACTATGGAAACGGTAAAATGATGTTATCCTTCCACTAGAGATCCCACCCAAAAAGAGACCTAACAACCACATCTTGTACCACCAAATCATTAAACAATTTGGGTCTAAATTTCATGGATAACATTCTTGGTGTTTCCAAATTTGGACTAACTTCGCCACCACTGTGTCTGACACTTCTACGTTCTTGAAGTTCCATGTCCTCCATACAGTGTAATATCAATGGAAGATCTTCTGCCTCACAATAATTATCTGACTCTATAAACCTTGGTGGAGGGATACTTTGATTCTTGTCTTGAATGTATCTGAAGGAGTAATGACCCCCTTAACTTGAAAAAGACGGGACCCTCAATAAGCATAGTTGCAACCCTGGTTCCATATTTCACTGCTTGAAAGATAATCAGAAGAATCATGCCTTATATTCCACGATTCAATTCACAAGTCTCTTATCTTGACAAAGTCCTTCCCTAATTGACGACCTTAAATCATCAAAGATGTATGTAAATGATAGTGAAAGAATATAATCAAGATTAATATGAAACCTTATTTCCCCTGATCTTCAATTATTTGAACTTTTATCAATGAATAGAAACCCTGATTTTTAATGAAATTTTCCTTTTCTGAACCAATATTTCTTTTCCTTTACCATACCATTCTTCAAGTGCAACTCGAATGCCCAACACATATTAGATGAAAATTCAAGTGAGACCTTGGTCCCAAAGTTAATCTTTCAAAGCTTACTTTAACCTAAGTCAACAGATCTTATCCACATATCTTTGAAATTGGCCCATGATTATGCATCTCAAGGTCTCATAAGAGCTTGTAAGCCCATCAACCAGGTATGCCATGTTGAATAAAACCCTGCCTTGAATGACTTGAACCTTGAATTATCTTGCATGGATTCTTCCATGAGAAACCTACTTCAATCCAAACCTACTCGCGTCGCAGATAACAAATGACAATGATGAGGACAATGGTTGCCTTGGTTAAGGAGAAATCTATGAATTCATATCTTAGGTCATGAACCACGCTTCACAATTCAATCCCCAGCCCTTAGCGGTTGGTTATTTCAACTTGAAATTAGTGTCATAAGGAACATCTTGCAGATGGATGAATCACAGAAGACTTTCCTTGATGTGAAACCCTCACAATCTTTATTCCTCGTTTAGGCGCACAAAGAAATATCCGGATAAAACATCTATAGGAAAGGACGCCATGATTCGAAGCCCACCTAAATTGATTAACTGAAGAGTAGATGAATGCCATGTCATAGTCATTAATCTTAATCAAATGATAAGCATACTTATAGGAAGAAACGTCTTGATTCGAAGACCATGTATGCTAAGTCATGCCCTTGAGTTCTTGACAAGAAAGACCTGTAACATGTTGTTTATCAGAAGATAATAGCCTTGTTGCTTGAGGGAGAAGAAGTCAAAATATGAGAACGAACCAAAAACCCTAATTTCACAACTTGCCGCCTGAATAAGAAATCATCCTGTATTGGATACGAGCGCCTTAACCATTGTGAAACCCTAGTATCGCACAACCATTGAACTTTGAACCTTAGAGCTATATTGAATGAAATGTATGTCATGTTAGTGACCTAATGAAATAGATGCAGATGAATGCAAAAGTCTAAGCCAAAAATAAAAGAAATTAGGAGGGCAAATTTTGGGGTGCAACACTTGGTAAAGGGTCAAGAGGACCTCAAAGTTTTGTTGGAGAATAATAAAGAGAAAAAGAAAAAGAGACCTGGGGTGGCCACTTTTGGAAGAAGGTTTGAGAGCAATGCTAGGAAGGTTCTTGAGTTCCCCTCAATGTCTGACGAAGCGGTCGGTAAAGGGAAAGGGACTGCTGTGCTTTCTGAATCCGAGGTTGAAGAGGAGGAAGAGGAAGAAGACGAAGACTACTCCGAACAACAGTATCCACCAGCGGATGATAAATATAAAAACCTTGAAGATAGACTGGCAGCTATGGAGTTGTAGAGGGTACCCGGATTGGATTTTGAAGAACTAGGGCTGGTAGCTGGGATTGTTATCCCTCCCAAGTTCAAGGTGCCAACATTTTCCAAGTATGACGGCCTGTCATGCCCAAAGATGCACCTGAGGTCGTATGTCAGAAAAATCCAACCCCACTCATCCGATAAAGACCTATGGGTACACTTTTTCCAAGACAGCTTGTCTGGCACGCAATTAGACTGGTTTTATTAACTCGAGAGATCAGAGGTTCATAATTGGGAAGACTTGGCAGCTGCTTTTTATCGTCAGTATCAATACAATGCTGATTTGGTGCCCACTCGTACTCAATTACAAAGTATGGGGATGGCTTCCAATGAAGGGTTTAAAGAGTATGCCCAGAAGTGGCGTGATCTGGCTGGAAGGGTGCAGCCACCGCTATCAGATAAGGAGTTAGTTGACATGTTTCTGGGGACCCTGTCTGGCCCTTTCTTCAACCATCTAATCAATAGTTCTTCCGCGGGATTTACTGAACTAATCTTGACCGGCGAAAGGGTTAAGGCTGGTATTAAAAGTGGAAAGATTCAAAAGGATGCTTCCGCATCCACAACTATTAAGAAACTCTTCCCAGCCAAGAAGGAAGCATCTGCTGTATATTCTCAGAAAGGACAGGGAAGAACTGAGCGTCGGCCGACTGTAGGGGATGTGATGATTCAAAACTCGTCAAATGATCAACCTCGTAGCAATCAGTCGAGACCTAATCAAAAACGGGTGGAAAGGCCACAACAGCAGTTCACCCGCATCAACATGACGCCCGCTCAGGTACTTCCTCATTTGTTGAAGCTGAATCTGACCAGTTTGAAGGAAGCGCCAAAGAACCCTAACACCTCCTATCCATACTACCACTCCAATGCCAAGTGTGCTTACCATTCCGACAGTGCTGGGCACGATACCAATAATTGCTGGGTGCTTAAGAACAAAATCCATGATCTGATTGATGCTAAGGAAGTATAATTTGATGCACCTGAGAAGCCCAATGTTATATCTGCTCCGATGCCCAAGCACGGCCACAATATTCATGCTATTGTGGAGGACCTTCATGTTACTGATGTTATTGATCTGTTGACGCTGTTACGTGTGATTAAAGAAAATCTGTTGAGAGCAGAGATCTTTCCTGGTTGTGGTAAAGACTGCTATTTTTGTTTGAACATACGAGGTGATTGCCCAATGTTGAAGTCAGGTGTCCAACGCCTGATGGATACCCAAGAGATACTTTTCCAGAAAACCCCTATTGATACCTTCAATCATGTTACTCCTGATACTTTTGCTACTTCAACCAACGATATTGCAATCATAACCATTTCCGATAATCCTCCCAAGGCTTGCAAAAGGCCTGCCAGGATTACACCCAACTTTGAATGTTTACCTTTAAAGATCACCATGTCGGGACCTGTCCCGTACCAATCAAGCAAAATGATACCATGGAACTATGGGGGAGAAATCTTCTACCATGGTATCAAACAAATCGAAACAATCCAAGAGATTTCTGAAGAAGAAAGCCCTGATATAGGGAACATTGCGGGTACAAGCAAGATAACCCGCAGCGGCCGGATCTTTTCTCCGGAGATTGCTCCCCCTCGAGCAGTTTTCGGACCCTTGAAAGCTTCTGTACCTGTTGGACCATCTGTGCAAGGCCCAGTGATTGAAGAATTGGATACTCCTGAAGTAAGACCATCTGCTGATACTACCGACAAAGGTAAGGGGATACTGGAAGTGACTATCAGGATGAAGGCTCATGTTGTGGTTATCCCTGAAACCAGTCAGAAAGAAAAGGATGAAATCTTGAAAATAATCAGAAAAATTGACTACGGCGTTGTGGAACAGTTAGGGCAGACCCCTTCTAAAATTTCAATGTTAGCTCTCCTTCTCTGTTCTGAGGCCCATGCTAAGGCCCTAATCAAATTCTTGAAGGCGGCACATGTACCCCAAGAGACTTCGGCGGACCAGTTTCAGGAATGTGTGGCCAGTCTGACTGCTGATAATGGCCTGGGCTTTTCTGATGCGGATTTGACTCCCAAAGGAAGAAAACACAACGACGCGCTACATGTCTCAGTTGAATGCAGGGGAACCAACCTCGCCCATGTCTTAGTTGATATTGATCTTCCTTGAATGTGCTGCCGAAGAAAGCTTTAGACCGTTTGGACTGCGAAGGACTGACTCTCAAACCTAGTAACATCGTTGTTAGGGCTTTTGGTGGTTCCAAAAGAATGGTTCATGGAGAGGTTGAAATTCCTATCAAAGTAGGCACATAAGTTTTCAACTCCACCTTCTACGTGATGGACATTCGTCCTTCATATTCGTGTTTTTTAGGAAGACCGTGGATCCATTATGTCGGGGCAGTTACCTCCTCTTTGCACCAAATGCTGAAATATCCTGTTAAGGGTAAGATTATAACAGTGCACGGGGAGGAAGAATACATGATAAGTCATCTCAATTCCTTCCTCTATGTGGAGTTGGATGGCGAGTTCATCGAAACGCCTTTCCAGCATTTTGAGGAAGTTTCTCCCGAGATAGAGGTTGCAAAGATAATGATTGAGGTGCCTGTCATTTCCAAGCATGTATCTAGGATGGCATCTCTCAAGGACGCAGAGGCGGTAATCAAAGAAGGGAAGAGTACAGTATCGGGACAATTGCCTGACTTTCCCCATAAGACAGACAAGTTTGGGTTAGGGTCCACTGCTGCAGGACAAAAGGCTATGCGTCGCTCCAAGGCTGGAGGGCCACCTGTCAAGATCTCACACCATGGAATCAATGTTGTAGAAGATGAAGATGAAGAGAGCCACTTTGAAGATTGGGTCTTTCCGATCGTCGAAGGGGGTTTGAGCAACTAGAAAGCAAAGGATTTTGTTCCCATCACCTTTATCAACCAGTAATTTTATCTTTGAACAATTTCCCATTTTTATGGTCTGTAATAACTAAAACAATTCGCACACTATTTTCACCTCATGCCTTGTCAGGGGCATGTAGGTCCATTTGTAAGGGCTTGATTTTCTTCATAATCATATGCCATGTTTTAATGAATCATTGGACGTTTTTCATCTATAAATTGTTGTGTTCATTTTTCTTTCCTTTTGCATTTTTATTTGTTTAAGGATGGATATCCCTTACACACACCCACACTCACAAATGCAGGTACCCATCCACTCTGGATTCCATGGGTGACTATTCTGCTTTAGCCTTCGATAACTCTGAA